ATAAGACCTGATTTTTATGTTTGGGATGTAGGAGCTCCCAGAACAGAGCTTCCCAGTCTTATCGGGGGACGACAAGGAAAGTGAGGAAGAGGGCGTGTCCCAGTCTGTTCCCACTGACCTGATGTCCTCCCAGGGCTCTGCCATCATCCGAGATGTGATTGTGATCGACACCGACAGCGAGAGCCGCGAGAGTAAAGATGGAGAGGAGAAGGAGGAGGAGGAAGAGGAGGAAGAAGAAGATGATGAGGTGCTGCTGCTTGTCACTACCTTATGCAAATGTTTTGAGTTTGAATCTAATGGCAGGTGTTAACTTCTAACTTTGTCTGTTAGTATAAAGAGGAAGAGGATGATGATGAAGATGACAATGATGCTGCTGACAGCGGAATAAGAGCGGGAGAGGAAAGTAACGAGGAGAGCGGAGAGGCCGAAGAGCAGAGGCGGGAGGAGCTGACAGAAGGCACTAACACCGAGGAGAGTGTGTGTGGAGCATCCTCAGGCTCACAGCACCCCAGTGAGCCAACAGCCAGCGGTGAGCACCAAGGCCAGCTCACATCTCATTTCACGCATGCTTCTCTCAAAATCGCAACCTGACACACTCATCTCTTCCAGGTGAAGGCAGCGGTGATGCCCCATCAGAGTCCGACCACCCTAGAGACCCTTTACACCTTCCTCCAACCTCTGCCCCCTCACCTTCCTCATCCTCCCTCACACCCCGGATGCCACACACACGAAGGCCCCCACACCCACTCCCGCCTCGCCTCTACATCCAGCCTCCTGCTCCTGAGCTGGGTCCCCCACAAACACAGGTGATAACCTAACACACATTTCTCTTTTTTCTTGTTGTTCCATTCAAAATATATGTTTTGGATTTAGAGTGAGCTTACTTATCATGAACAGGAGGCAGGTTTGTTATCCTCATCGGCTAAATGAGTGATGCAGTTAAATTAAGAGTTTAGTAGAAAGATGCCAAAAGCATTTTGTTTAGATTCATCTGGGAGTTTTAAGTAAGTCAAATTAATACATATACTGTCCAGTTATTTGGTGTTATATAAAGCCACCTGAAATCACAATGCCAATCAGCAAAGACTGATTAATAATACCGATCAATAGTGAATGGTAAAATCGTTACATGAAAATATAAGAGGAGAAGAAAGCAACACTGACAGTAATGGTGTCTGTGTGTGAATCAGAGACAGGCCTCTCAGCTGCGCAGACCCTCGTCAGGACGTGGACCTCAGCTGACTCCTGGAATAGGCAGTATGGTAAGAGATGTGTGTTGTGAACTTTGACCATATTATTCAGTTTCTGTGGATCAGCTAGCCTAAATGTGCCTGTGTGTTGTCAGCAGCCTTTCTTTGATGATGATGACAGAATGGTTCCCAGTACTCCCACTCTGGTTGTTCCACATCGTACTGATGGTTTCGCTGAGGCTATACAGTAAGAGAGACAGACACACACACACACCTGGCTCATAATGTCTTCCATCATGGCTGATGTTTGTAGATCGCTGTATAACATTCTGTATATTATCCTGGAACTTTATTATTTATTTATTTATTTATTTATTTTTAAAAGAGGATTAAGTTTCAGAGGCAAATCTAGTGAATATAGTGGTTGAAAGGTGACTTTTGTGTTTGTATGGAAGAAACTCGCATTGCTTTCAATGCACTGTGGGCTGGAACAGAATAAGCTCAGGTTGTTCGGTCTCCGATGCCTCAAGATGTTAAAGTAAGGAAACTATTTCAAAATATTTCAGTTGAGTGATGATGATACTCTACTGTGACAGAGAAGCTCAAAGTGCAAGTCATAAAGGGACTACTTTGTAGAGTCAGAAGTGGTCTAGAGTTTGGTCAATAAGTTGATCTTTAAGAGGAGATGGGACAAATATAAACTGATTCAAGGCTGGTTCCCAGAACCTGTTGATTAGGCCTCATATTTTAATTGAATGGACACAATATTAGGATCCCTATGTTTTCTGAAAGCAAAATAAAGAATAATCCAGTTTAGGGCCAAAGACCAACTTCACACAGTCTACTGTTTTTAAAGTATGAATCAGTATGATAGTCCATCACGCACTAAAGACTCCCATACTTTACTCCACTGCTTCACTTTAACTTTGCTTCACCCTGTTATTTTGTGTCTTAACTGGACTGTTTCTAGACATAGTGGTATCATATGATCTCAGACACATTATAGATTTATTAACTCAGGGATTTTTGAGGTGAGAGACAGGACAGTGGTCTGCTGCTCCCTGTGTAGAGAAACCTGTCAGTTACAGTGTCCGTATTTCCAGCAACCAGGTAAATAAGTTAAAAGCAATTTAACCTTTTAGAGGGGAAAACTGCAACCTGGTACAAAACTAGTTTAAAATGGCAGTGAGAAGTGATTTCCTTTTAGAAAAGAATTCAAGTGGCCAATTTTAGCACTTTTGTAGGGGATTTTTTTTCTTTCTCTAATTGCAGCAACTAATTCTAGAAGGAAGCTGCAGATGAAACATATGTTCTTGAGTGAAACATGCAGAGAAGGCAAAGGAGACTACAAATGTGGGCTGCTGAAAAGATGCATTTTAACACGTGTTTAAGCAGATGTTTTTGATCTCCTCAGCTCACCTCAGGTAGCAGGTCTGTCCACCAGATTCAGGTTTGGACCCCCTGAAGATCTGCTGCCACAGACGTCAGCCTCACACTCTGACCTGGGACAGCTGGCTTCTCAAGGAGGTACTGCACAAACACTTAATTGTAACTTATGCATGCAGTCTGATACTCGAGTTAAAACATTCATTTTTTGTGTGTCAAACTAAATCTGTATGTAGGTCTCGGTATGTATGAATCTCCTCTGTTTCTGGCTGCTCATGATGAAGATGGAGGAGGAAGGAGTGTCCCCACCACACCTTTACAAGTGGCTGCACCAGGTGAGAAAAACACACAAACCCCGAAGACAAGATTTCCTCAGTCGGCGCTGTCCAGCTCTTGGGCTCAAAAGCTCAGTGTTCCCTGTGTCTCTGTTTCATCAGTGACAGTCTTCACTGAATCCCTGCCCTCAGACAGCAGTGACAACATGGCGTCCCAGTCAGTTCCCATGGTAACTGCCTCTACTGGAATGGCTGCTGCTACAGATGATGGAGATGAGGTGTTCATGGAGCAGGAAGTGGAGGGGTGAGCTTTTAAGTTTTCAGTTTTAATTTATGTAGGATTTACTGTCAAATGATTTTTTTTGAACTCCCAATAAAAACCAAAAAAAAAAGCTTCTCACATGGTGTTAAAATAGATTTGTGAGAGAAATGTTGGCTTTTATTTTAAACCTGACACCGCTGGAAGTTTTCTCTGATTGTGCATGTGTTTCCAGCCCTGGAATTGAGTCTACCCTGGAGAGTCAGACAGACATGGAATCAGCAGGACAGCAAAGTGATGATGCGTCACTGCCATCTACCAGCCAAGACCCTGGTAACGTATTCTGTTTACTGACCAATAGATGTCAAAGCAACCATATCCTGTGCAAAGTTGTTATAAAGGTGAAAACTGTCCTCAATTAATGTACTTTTAATGCTGTAAAATTGGACATTTGAACATTGGGAATCTATGAGGACGAAGTGGCTGGCTTCGAAAGCGAATCAGAGGAACTGCAGTTTTTTGAGTTTGCGCTGGCTTCATTTTTCAGCCCTGTGCTTTCTGTCTGTTTCCATGCTTAGTCCATATATAATCCATGGTGCAGACTTATAGAACCTTTAAACCCCAACAACACTATTAGCAGTCCTTTTTTTTCCTCCTGTCAATTTAATTAAATGTTTAATATAAAAGCTGCCATTAGCTCATTAGTCTGAAAGGGAATTCCATTATTTTGCTAATGAAAGACGTTGAAAAGCAAAGCAAGCAACATTTTTGCTAAACTGAACTCGTCAGCTAAAGCTTTCATATGTG